GAAACTATAAAAGCTGTGGTAGAGAAATTTCACACAAACGAATATACTAATAGGGCCAATGTGTATGATAAAAGTTGTTGAAATTACTTGGCTCCTTCTGGTACCTGCCATACAACTTCAAAAGTTATTTGGCTATATCTCAGAAACTATAAAAGCTATGGTATTGAAATTTCACGTAAGCGAATATATCAGTAAGGCCGATGTGCTTGATAAAATTCGTTAAAATTTCTTGGCTCTTTCTGGTGGCTGCCATACAGTATTTTGAAAAACACAATACTGAAACTTTGCATAAATTAATATGGTCATACGGTAACTTAAAGTCATAGTCTATCCCATAGTCAGTTATGGCATATTTATTTGCACATAGGATAACAAATTCGTACGGGTATCACAGAGTTGACAAGGTTAACTCTATTTTTTCTCGTTTACTTTATATTTCAAAATATTTGCTTGAAATATAATTCAATAAAATCTTAAAAAGAAAATTATAGTTTTACTTGAACATGGATGATTTTCCATGATCGCTCAACAAGTTGCTTTTTAATTTGTCTATGTTGCTTATCAAAGAAATAAAGTTTGTGAAGCAGTAACTAAGTTATGTAAAAATAAATTTGGGTCAAACCAATGGTTTGTATTGTAGCACTTTTCCGTTCAACAAGTGAAAATTCTGCTTTTAAATACAGTCTATGTTTACCTGTCACACTATTAAAATTATTTTCATTCATATTTAACTATTTCTATAATTGCATATATTTAGGATGATGCATTCATGCAGTCTTTGAAATAAAGAAAAAATTAATATAAAGAGGGGTTAACATAATGCTCGATTTTAAGGGTTAATTGTGTGAGTTAAGAAAAATAATTATTTTTTTTAATGTTATGGCATTTACCGTTAGCGTTTTGTGTTTATAGAAATTTGAAAAAGCTTGCGGTTTCAGAAATATAGGGTGTCAAAAATTCAAATTTTACAAATTTCAAGAGGCGATAACTGGAGAGGGGGTGGAGATGGAAAAAAAATTTCTTCTAACGAAATGAACTACTTGTTAATGTCTAAAAGTCCCTAAAATTTCAAGCTTCTACAGGCTGGGGTCTAGAAGAAAAACGAAATCAAAAATTTGGAAAAAAAAGACTTTAGATAACGGTAAATTTGAACGGCCATTTTGTTTTTCTAAAGTTTAACTATAGTATACCGCGCTAGGGGAAGCAAGCCATTGCCTTTCTGCGTTCGCAAAATTTCAAAAATGCTTATGGTTTCATTGCAACAAATAGTTAAAAAAGGCCATTTTTAAGGTTTTGGGGGGGTATAACTTCTAGAGGGGGGAGATAGGTAAAAATTTTGTTCTACGGAAATAAGTTTCTAGTAAAGATCTATGTACATACAAAATTTCAGCTTTCTATCTTCAAGGGTGTAGAAGTTTTGTAAACAGACACACGGACAGACGGACAGACGGAAGGACAGAGTGAAACTAATAAGCACTTTTTTTCAAAAATTTTTTGGAAAAGTGCTAAAAACGAAATGGAACGTCATGGTAATTTCAATATTTTCATTATTTGACTATAATAAAAAATAATTTAATAGATCTGTGAATAAAAAATTTCGTAATAAAATTGCGGATTTTAAAGAAAGCCCATTTGGTTTCGTTTTGTTAGTAAGATAGAGAAAATATTTCCAAATACAATATATACAGATGGCCGATGTCTAACTGTCACCATGCTATATTGGAAAAAAATTATACAAGTGAAGTGATTGTCTTGTTTGTTTAACTTTACATTTAGTCAAATGATCTAAAAGATTATTTACCAATTTCGAGGAAAGTTTAGGCGATATGGTTGACATAAATATGTAGGTTGTTGCAGTTTAACCCTTAATAATGTTTACCTACAAATTAACGCCTAATGTTTACTTACAATTAAAAGGTAAATTGAGTTCGTTTTTTTAATAATTAATCAAAATGCAGTTCGTTCACCCTACAATAATTTTTCCGTTTGTATAAAAAAACTTTATTTTGATTTATTGCCCCCAATGGCACTGTTCTCATTCTCATCCCGTAAAATAAGTATTCCATTGTCTTTAATTCTAAATCTATCAGTTCATCTGCCAGTCCTTTCTTAAAAAACTATCCTGAAACTATATTGAAATTACTTTTCGTATTACAAATGTGTAAGATTATTTCACTATAGATTTTATTATTCTTCCCTTTTAAATCTTTTTTTGATGTATTTGATAGCTATTCATGAAAATTATTTATTCAATTTCAAATTTCCCATGATATAAGACGAATTTTAATGTGTAATTTTTAAATGAATCATATTCTATTAATAAATATTAGCTCTCGTTGAAACGTACAGTTAACTTTTCCTTGAAGCTAACTGAACAAATTGTTTTTTTAAGTCTATAAGGAATTTTCTATAAATCTATAAGAAATCGTTCAATTTAATAAACCAAATGAATAGGTCAGATTGTATTATTTCACTGCCTCAATGTTTTTTTGAAGATAATAATTACTTAACAATAATTAAGTAAAAGTTTCATTCTTAAAGTTTTATCATATTATTTTTTTCTTTGTTGTAGAAAAAAGCTGGTTTCTGTTTACAATATTTTAAATCCAGACAAACAGTAAATCTACTAAGTATTTATTTTATGAAGATTTTCCTTTATTTGGATATATTAAGCACAACTAAAAAAAAAAATCATATTCTAAATTATGCATAGGTACGATACAAGTAGTGATTTTAGTGACGGATGGCTACAACACTAAATTATTTTTTATATGTTTTGATGCTTGTCAGTTAAAGCTTTTAATAATGCTTAGATCAATTAAAAAATAATTTTAATTTATTAGTTAGATAGGAAAAATAAAATGATATAACCAGTTTTTTTAACTATTTTAAAAAGCTTGCACTATAAAATAAATATACACGTACTTGTAACTACGTGTTCACGAACAACACTACAAGTAAATTTAGTTATAATTCAATGTTTTTTTTTTATGAGTTTACTTTTCTTAGGTTTTACGTTAAGTTATTGAAGGTGTGAATATCTTAATTACACCAATCAATTAACGTGATTTTATATATAAAATTTAATGATCTAATTTTTAATAGTGCTAAAGAAATCGAGTAAAACGAAAGCAATTAGGGTCATCCACAATCTTTTATTTTATTTCAGATATTAAATTGTGTAACATATTTTTAATTTCGCGTTAAGCAAAATATAACAAAAATAGTTACTATAAATTCTATTTTAGCGATAAAGTTGGGAAGTATAAAAAAAATTGATTAAGAGTTGATTATGTTCCTTTAATAAAAAAAAAAAATATTTTTTTTATAATCAAATTCTTACTGTGAAATCGTGCAAATAAAAGTGTAAAAAGAAATTTTACACTAAAACCATAAAATAGTAAAAAGAAATTTAAAACATTATTTAATTTGAGATTTAAAATTTGATTAATACAAAAACTTTTAATGAATTTCTGCAACTGGCATTTGAGACTTAACCAAAAAGCGACACATTTTACTCGTATACATTTTTTTTCTTATATTCGCCTTAACAAAAAACTACATTTTACTCAGTCTTTTATTATACAATTTTATATCAATATAAAACATAGTTAAAAGGAAATAGTTTTAAATTGTTAAGAACTGTAATATGCAATTTTACATTATATCGTAAGAGTGCAACTTAAGTTCTGATCCCGTAAAAAGAAAAAATCCTAAGAATAAACCCAATAAAAGATATATAAATACAAGATATATAAAATAGCTGTTACAAATAATACGAGACTAAGTCATAATGAATACATATTTTATATCTAGTAACAGCTTGAAGGTGAGTGATTTTAATTTAAAGCTCACTGAATTACTTAGCAAATCTATACGATAAATACAATACTGTATGCAGAAAAACATTATTGGAAATAAGTTTCTTTATATACATAAACTAATTGAAACTCAAAAGGAAAAACAAATATTTTCTCAAATCTGGGCGTTTTCTTCCGAATTCATTATAAGAATAGTAGAAATGGCCCCAAGAATAATGTTTTACTATGGGAAAACATTATTTACAATATTTTTTCTTTAATTTTTCAAAAACGTATACATTATAAATTGTTTTTTGTTATTGTGTTACCAGAAACAATCAACAGGTGGTTGATTTTTATATACTCAAAACAATCTTATTTATTTTTTTTTACTGTCAGAAATTGTTTTTAAAATATCCTTGAAGAAACGATAACACTTTGACCAGCAAGTAAGTAATCACCGAAATGAAAGTAATCACCGTTTCAGAGAAAATTTTTAGACATTTCTTCACGCTGGTTCAATTCAGTTATAAACTTTAACTACTTTCTCATAGAGTTTCGCCTTTTGTATGCCAAACATTAATTTTTATATTTTCAAAATTTCTTCGGGAACACTATAGATTGTTGCAGTGATTATAAAATTAAAATTTTATGAAAAAATAAAGAAAAGGCTTTTACTTTATAAAAGTTGAGTTTCAACATTAATCAATTTAACTGTTATGTTCATTATTTATAATTAAAAAAAAAGGATTACATCAAGGTATAAGGATTACAGAAAAAGAACTGCACGAATTTTTTTTTATTGCATACTTTACGGCTTTTTCAATTATTACATTTTTAAGTTTTGCAAAATCTCAAATGAAATTCAAATTCTTTTATATAATATAATATAATTTTCATTTTTATTACTTAAATTTATAAAATGTTTTAAACATGCATGTTTTCTACTTTCATAACTTTTTTATTTTAGTCGTCTTGATTGATAGAAAATAGCGAGTTCACTTATGTTATAAATAAATATCAGGAAAAAAATTAAATGGAAAAAAGTTATGCCGTCGGCAATTACCTTTTTGATGTAAGGAAAAATATAAAATGTGAATACATACAAAGGTTTTGCATTACATAAATATACGACAATTAAATGTAATATCTAAGTATATTAATTTAAAAAAAAAAACATATACAGCTTTGTTCACTCACCTGTTGGAGATAAGGGCAATGAAGGTGGCGGTGGTGGTGGTATTGAACCGCCACCAACAATCGGTGGTCGCGGTGGTTCCATACTCCAAGGCGTTGTTGGTAACGGTCCAAATTCGCTACCAATGCTCGATCCAATCAACATGACAAATCAACCAAAACAATTCTTTATCGTTTACTTCTTCTTGTATTAATAAATTTTTGTACTTTGTTATTAATAAGTTTTTACTTTTTATATATTTAAAAATATTAAAACGGCATTTGAAATTGGAAAATTAAATATTTACACTTTTTAAATTGATCGATGAAGAACGAGTTATTAAAACGACATTTTATTCTAATAAATTATTAGTGTGGTTAAAAGTAGTGCTTATAGTGTACTCACTTTCTTTTTCTCTTGTTGTGTTGTATGTTCTTTCGTCTAAAGCCCGATTTAATTACGATTATTCAATAAATTACAAAGTTTTCGTTTGTTTTTTTTATTCTTTTTTTCTTAATCATTTTCGATCTTTTTTAATTTTTTTCTTTTGCATATTGAGACAGAACAAACATTTATACTTTTTATTTAATTTTACCGAGTAACATTATTTCTGATTTTAATATTTTCGATAATTAATTAATAGGTGGGTTTTTTGAATATAAAAATCACAGATAAATAAATTAAAAATCAATAAAAAACAACGACAAATAAAAACAAAATAAAAAAAACGAAAGTAAACATAAAACGGAACAATAAAAGTATTGGATTTTAAAATATTTTAGAAGTGTGATGACAAATTAACAAAAATAACAAATATAATAATAAAAACCATGTAGCAAGAAAGAGACACAAAAAACAATGCAAAACAAATTTAAAAAAAGAAAAACACAAAAACACCAAATAAAAATAATTTTTTTTTCGCTTGCTTATTTCAATTTTATTTTTGTTTTTTTTTTTTACAAAAAAGTTTTCTGTTTTCTTCTCTTTTGCAAAAAAGTTTCACCGATGATGCACACACGTAAACATCAAATGTTAAACTAAAACTAAACCGTTTACTTAAACAATATTAGACCCCGCCGCCACACCGTAACCGTACTGACACCCTTCTTTGCACTGTGGCCGTTCCTTGTCTCTTATTATTATTTTTTATTTTACTAATCTTTCTTTCGGACGTATGTGTACATATGTTTGTGTGTGCATATATGTATCTATAATTATTCCGTTCACATAAAATATGTATAGCCTTTTTTTCATATAATTATCGTTTTTAACATTAAAAAAAACTAAATAAATAAAGCAGAAATAGAAACAAAACAAAAGAAACGAAACGACGTATGCGCTTAAAAATAAGACAAAAAGCACATCGAAAAACCCAACCAACGAAAGTTTAGTTTCGATTCAATACAAAAGAAGGCAAAACAAAAAGAAAACATAAAATAGAAAAAAATAACTGAAAAACGGAACAGTAGTGGTTAAACATCAAGCACTTAACAGGTCTTATAACTTATAACTCAGTGAAAATGAGTGGCAGTTGATTATTGTGCGGCAAGTAGCAGCAACACTAAACATTGGCAATGCAAGCAAATAAGTAAATAAGAAAAAAGAGGAACAGCAATAATGACAATAATAATGAGAATAAAAAACACTAGCAACAAAAAAATTATACATAAATGGCAACAATACTAAGAAAAAAAATTAAATGCGAGAGATTCCGTTGTAAAAAAAAATAAGCAAAACAGGAAAATTATGAGTGAATTTAAAAGGAAAACGAGCTAAAAGGTTTGACATAATATAATAAACGCACACACTTCAACTGAAGCAAACATTGTTGTGAACTGCTACATATTTCATACTAAAACAGAATTTTATACTCAAATTATATTGGCTAGATAGTGTTGGTGAATGAGTTGATTTTGTTTTATTAGGTTTTCTTAGGTTCTAGTTTCTCAACTCTCTTTTTATTTTCTCATTAATTAGCACGTTAAAATTAAAGATTATCTTTGAGTTACCTGTTCATTTTTTGTTCGAATTTAAATTGTTGCTTTGAATTATGATATCTACAAGAAAAATATTTTCACTCAAATTTTATACACATACGTATGTATGGATATGGGTACACATTCTGATAAAAATATGCTGCTATAAAGATATTTATAAATATTTATTGTTTATTCATGTAAATATGCATATACACGCTTACATTATATGCTTCAAAATGTATTTAAAATATTTAAAAGCGTTATATCACTGCTTTTGGAAAAATTAATAATATGTGATTCATAAAATAATATTAAAATTATTAAAAAGTCTTGTGTTCTTGTTACGATATTAAAAAATTTACATATTATGTATCTACATATATTCATACATACCTATGTTACCAAGAGAAAATATCATTTATTAGACAAAAGTTGTGTAGAATGAGAATATTTAAAAATTCTCTGCAAACTTATATATATGCACATATATAGTATAGTCAGATAGGTGTCACAATGAAAAAGCTTAAAAATAAACGCATTATATAATAAAATGACAATACCTATACATATACAAAGCATGGGGAAAATATTGCTTATTTTAAAAATGGCAAGAATTGAAACATATGCAGAAATATTGAGACGTAACAAAAACCAAAGAATATAATTTACTTATTCTTGCTAGAAAAACTGAAATCATAATGTTAAAGGGACTCATCACAGTATTGTTAAAGGCACTCTTTCTTTCATGAAGTGTTTCCACTTACATCTATAAATTCAAATATTATTAAAACGCCAGATTTCTGCTGTTTATGGGTCCATTTAATAAAGTCTGTCAATTAAAACTATTTTCCTCCCCGGTATTTAATTCCCTTTAATAAAATATTTTAAAACTAAGAAGTTGTTGTTAATAATTACGAAATTTATCATTAAAAAGAAATTATGGGCTTTAAAATATCTTGGATGTGATGTTGTGAAAAACTCATAAAGTACTTTTCCCGGACAATAAATGGAATAGATGAAAATGTGTAGAAAATTTTTATTGAATAAGATTTAAATATTAAATCTTTATTCCTTGTCACACCACTTATCACTTTAGCAAATTATTTGACAACCGATATACATAATTCAAATATAATTATTCTGTAAAATGAAATCACTTACATTTTTTACTAATATTGCAGAGTAACATAATAAAAGTAATCGTAATAAATTTCAATTTTCATTAAATACTTAAATAAAAACAGTTGCTATACATATGGAAACATATTATATGGATATCACTGTATTAATATATGCATCATATACTTACATTTATCATGTACATTTAGACTTATTTTTAAAAATGGGTGATTATTACACTTATTTCAAATTTTTAATTGCCAATTGACATACTTATAAGCACATTTTATTTCATTTAATATTGAATTATTTTCATTTGAAATTCCTATATGACATTTTCAAGAGTTTCAACGCAATTATGAACATATGTATGTTTTTTTGTTAACATTATCCATCATAATAGAAAGACATGAAAGTATGTATGTATTTGCATATTAATGCCTGCAAATATTGAAATGTTACGTAGTATATATATTAACGTATGTAAATATAAAAAGTAAATAGAAATTCTATGCGGGTATTGAAAAGTTCCAAGTATACAAAAGAGAAAAAAACTGTAATTATTTTTTGAAAATGGGCGTCTAAACGCACCCACATTACATAAATATACGCATTTTATTTAATTGAACACGCTTTAGGCTTCTCTTTTGTTAAATGCATGATGATGCAAGAAAACTGTAATTTTTATGTATTTTCCATCTTTTATTTCCGTTTTACTAAATTGGATTCAACCATATATGCACTACAAATAATTTTTTTAGTTGACGTAAAAGTTTACTCAAGTGCTGTTTAGCATATGAAAAACATAATAATATTATTTTTATTTGACTATATACATACATACCTATTTAGAAAAAATTATTTTTGGAATAATACGATGATTATTCCTTAATAATACCTTAGAAATTTGTATGGTATGCCTATATGAATTTGATATTAAATATCCCACTTTAATAAAAGAACAACATAATTATGCACAAATTTAAAAAAAAAAGTCCGCCGAATTTTCAAGATTTTTTATTTTCAAAATTTCATGCGTGATTCTTTACAGTCAACAACACCAAATCAATTCAATTGACGTTTTACCCTAATTTATTAAATCGCCAAGAAAAAAATGGCGCCCTAACATTTCCAAATTTTTAATCTGTAAATGATATTTGAGAATGCTGTTTTATAAGCAATCACTTTCAAGTTTGTAACCTGCCAAAGTGCTGACCATCCAGTATATCGATTGCAGTTTTGGAAAACCCTTCTGACCGTGTAACTGGCGGCATTGTAACGAAAAAATTTATTCAAAATTCAAATTTCGTTTAAAAGACTACTTCAAACACAATAATTTATACTGAATTATAAAAATATGTAAGAATTCTAATATTTAATACTTTATTTAAGTATATCAATTACATACACATATAGAATAACAAATTGCTTTTTCTAATTTGGTACTTTGTTTAGCAAGTTAATAAGTTTAAGATTCAATCGCAATGAATCCTTGACTAAGTAAAACTTTGCAATGTAATTTTAATTATAAAAAACAATCAATTAATATTTTTATTCATTATCCTCATAATTACCAAAAAAAATTCGACCAAGAAAATAATTTCGATAAAATTTTTTTTAAATTCTAAGTAAAAGAAATTTCTTTTACATCGAAAAACGTATACGTTGAATAAAGATTCATTAAAACACATACATTTAGTGGGCCACATACGCACTGTAATACAGTTGATTTTTTCTGTCTTTTTCTGATTAAAGGAATCAAAATTCGATAACTATCAATTAATTTAATGATATAATTTTTAAAAGCTTTTTCGATTTATTAGAAGCATTAGAAGAAAAACTTTGTAGTTTTGTTTGGAACCAAAAATTGTTAAAACTAAATTTTATTATTTACAAATAACCTTCCTCTGAATAGAGAAGCTTACTTGCCTTTCAAGGTTTTGAAATATGAAGCTCACCTTCTTCTTGATGTACAAAACCTTTATATTAATATCAATCGCATATTTAAAATTGGTTTTATTTAACAAAAACATTTCATTCAAATTTACAAATAAAATCAAATTTTCCTTAAATTTCTAATTTTACTCGAATTTAGCG